GGTTGTGAAGGCTAGGACTATAACAGGGTTTAAAAGAGAACTAGATAAATTCATGGAGGTTAAATCCATTAATCGCTATTAGCCAGGATGGGTAAGGAACGGTGTCCCTAGCCTCCGTTTGTCAGAGGGTGGAGATGGATGGCAGGAGAGAGATCACTTGATCATTACCTGTTAGGTTCACTCCCTCTGGGGCACCTGGCATTGGTCACTGTCGGCAGACAGGATACTGGGATGGATTGACCTTTGGTCTGACCCAGTATGGCCATTCTTAAACTCTTAACACTGTCACCTTTGCGAGCCAAATTTGTAATCTCTTCAAAAAGTGAGAGTTAATTTAACAAGATATTTTTCACAAATCAGTGTTGGCATTAGTTATATTACCGTCCTTTAATTGTGTATGAATCAAGTCCTGTATCAGCCACTCTATTGTTTTGCATTGGATGGAAGTCAAGTTGACAGGCCTATAGTTACTTGGCTCAGCCTATTTAGCCTTTTATTATATAATGCACAACATTAGATTTCTTCAAGACATCTGGAACTTCCCCACTGCTTCAAGATTTAATAAAAGTCAACAGTCCAGAGAGTCCATTGACCAGCTCTTTTAAAAGTCTTGGATACAAGTTATCCAGACATGTTTTAGTAGCTGCTGTTTAACATCCTTCTTAGTCACTTTAAAAATGGAAACTATTTTGTCCTCCACCGCCGCCTCCTATGACATGAATACATCATCACCTTGCTTTTTTCAATGTACAAACCAGAAACATATTGAACATTTGTGCCTTTTTTGCATTATTATTGACAATTCTGCCATTTACATCTAGAAATACGTTAACATCATACTTAGGGTTTCTTTTGTTCTTGTTATCATAAAGACTCTTCCTTATTGTCCTGAACTCTGCTGGCCATGGATTTTTCTTTGAGTTCTTTTGATTCCCTTACCAATTTTCTACAATTTCTAGCTTCTGACTTATATATATTATCATCTTTCCCTTTCTCCCCCACCCATGTGTTATACATTATCTTTTTATTGCTTCTTTCAACTACCCCTCTAAGGCAGGCAGTTTTTCTAACCCGGGTAACCTTAACTCTCAACTGTGGCTTTTGGGGCATCTAATAAAATGTTCTAAAACAGTTCCGAATGATCATTAACGTTTTTGTGTTAAAGTTTTTTCTCCCATCTGCTGTGGCTCACAGTTATTTTCAGCTTTATAAAACAGGCCCTTATAAAGAATCCAGTACATAATGTCACTGCTTTGGACTTTATTGTTTGCATACAACAAATATAATCAAGTCATGGTCACTGGACCTTACAAACCACGTTTAAGTGCTGCGATCAATTCCTCTTTATCTATCAAGCTGAGGTCTAATAGAGAATTCCCCTATGTTGGATGCAACACTTCTTTGAGTTAGGAAATTGTCATCTAGAATTTTGAGAAATCACCAGGACGTTGTAGAATTGGCAGAGATTTCCAGCATATGTCACTCAGAAAAAACATTTTCGTATGCCCTACATTTGGAATTATCATAAGCTGCTTTAAAACAGCACCTTCACAGTCCTGAAGATAAATTTCATTCAGATATGAAATGTATATAGTAGAGCAGGTAAGGAAAGGTTGATCTTTTTTTTCCTTGCCCATTTATTCCTTGATGAAAATGGAAAACTGTTTTCTTTTCATCAAAAATTTTCTATGAAGATTTTGGAAATTTTGTTGAAAACTGAAAAATTTGAGATGCTTGGGCAAAAATATGAAGTTTTACTGAACTTTTTCACTTGACTATACAATTTTTTTCAGTTTTTGGTCACTCAAACTTGAAAAAATTCAATTTTCATTGAACCCCAATTTTTTCATGGACATTTTTTTTTTACTACAAACTCTAGTATTTAATTTCTCTTTACATGTGTATTATGCAAAATATATAGCACAGGAGGATGATTACTTACTGTTCAATTTCTTTACGGTATCTTTCTTCTTCTTCTGCAGCCTTTTGAGAAATCTCCAGTTTCCTTCTGCAATACAGAGAAATTTACATTTAGAACATTTAGAGAAAAATAAGTTGTCATGTGTATGCTAGTGTAAAACAAATATATATATATATATATATAGAGAGAGAGGAGAACGAATACGCACTGGGAAAACCTGACACATGAGTTTCCAACATTCCCATTAACATTCCTAGCCCTCATCACACCTGCCTGATGATTCCCGATGGTCTCCATAGCCCACCTGAGCAACACAAATTCTGAAGCCACTCTGACCCTCAAAGATAACTTTTTAGCGCATTCTGCAGCTGTCCAACCATGTTCTCTGTGATGGGATTGAGTCTGACTGCCCAGCTCAATGAAAATCGGGCATTGGGTAATGATATTGGAGGTGATGGGGTTTACTGATGTCCCACTTCAAGCATGGAGGGATGGTTTCTGTCCCAGCTAACTGACAGCCAGGGAAACTGAATGGCCCACCAGGCCCAAGACAGATGTCCCCGATGATGGCTCTGAATTCCACAGTAACTTTGCTAACTCTAAGGGAAAAGGCAAGCTCATGGACTATATGCTTTGCCACAAAATTAAAATGAGAGAGAAATGATGAGGGATTTTCAAGGAAATCTGTGAAAAAATAATATAGGCACATGTGCTGCTTCTCCCTTTCACCTCTCAATAAACAAAGATAAAAGAAAGGTAACTAGGTAAACTAATGCAAAAAGCATCAGCACTGACATATTAGGTTCAACCTTTCTATTGCTAAATCATTGTTAATAATATAGGAATATCTTTGATCATCCAATGAGTGATAAAAGTCATTTACTTTAGAGACAGGTGACTTTGCACATGATATCTGATGAAGAAATTCTAATTCCACAGAATGAGACAACTTTAGGACAACTTTACTTCATTGGTAAAGCCTCAGAAAATCATCCACATCCAAGTTGCTCTCCCTACTTATTTGTGTGAAATTTTCTAGGCAAACATGTGCAACTGGAAGTGGACAGGACATCTGTCTCTAAACAAGGGGAGAAATGTGACTGATGATACATCAAGGTATGGAAAGAGATCAACAGGGAGCATAGAACCCAGGCCTCCATGCCTTTCTAGGTGAGTACTCTGCCACAACAGAGACAACCACACCCACTTAGGCCAATGGCTTTCTTTCTGTATTCTTGACCTGGTTACTCACAAATGAATTGGCTTCCTTTTAATAAATAGGCAGCCTAGATAAGTATGGGAGCCAATAGTTACCTTGGTCACAACTGTGGAACATCCTGTTAAATATGAGATATAAAGGCTTTAAAGTCAGAAGTATTTTAATTAAAAAGTTTTAGCATTAGCTGAATAAAGCATCATTCTCCCCTGTTGATACTGTGGTTTTTAGAGTTATTGAAAATATACTCTCTATAGTAAACGTAATTACATACTTAGCAGAGTAGATCAAATGCAGCTAATCTCATCACTGGCCAGCATGGGGAAAAAGAAGGAGAACAAACCCCGCAGTCTCTGCTGATCCACCTAGTGGGTCAGGGGACAGGCCAGGGACCTACCCTTCTGGTGGGACCCACAGTCCAAGTCAACTCCTCTTATATCCAATAGGGGGTAAGGGGATGGGGAGAACCTGGGCCCGCCCTCTTCTCTGGCCGGGAGAGGAAGTTGGCCGATGGGGTCTCCTGTGACTGTGGGGCCTATTTCCGATCTTCCGTCCGCTCATGCATCCGGGCAGAGTTCCTCCGGGCAATGTCCACTGGCTCCCTTGACATCTTGAAGGAGCAGTGGGGGCTGTCTGGGGTTCTCTGCTCGGTGTCCCTGTCAGGTTCCCTTCGTTTAGCCCTCTGACCTCACTCCTGCCCCTGTTTTATCTTTAGTTGTCCCCCGTACTTGCTTGGTATCCCGGTCCTGTGGATACTCCCCTTAGGCTGTGGGGAGGTCCTTTAGTAGTGGGCGGGCTTCCGCCCGTCCACTTCCTGGATTCCATAAGGATCACTCTCCTGTAGCCATCTGGCCCAACCCTGTCGCAATGACACATCCCCTTGAAAAAAGGCAGGGCTTCAAGTACTCGGGCAGCCTGCTTTGTGTGGTAGTGGGCACTTGAGTATGGTCCAGATATCACTCTTCACTGTACCACTGCTCTCCAACACAGTTCCGTCCCACCTGCTGTGGCTCTCTCCTACCACCTCTTCTGATCCTACCATGCCCCTGCACACTCATTCTCCTGCTGGTCAGATGACAATCCTTTCCCAGCCCCTCTCACTTTCGTTTCCTATTGTCAGGAAGGGATAGGAGCCAGAGAGTCTTCAGACCCACCATCTCCTGTGGCTGCTGGTTCTCTCCCTCTAGGTTTGGTATCTGCAAAATACTGATAGCCTTCATTTGTTACCCTCCAGTTTTATACATATTGTGTGTGGGTTTTATATCTATATCTATATACATACATACACACACACACACACACACACACACACACACACACACAGAATGAATGAATGTGTCTGTCTGTCTGTCTGTCACTGGCACATTCCTTGAGATGATGAATCCAGAAGGATCTTAGCTCTGAAGTTCCAAAGTGCCCACAACACCAACAGAAAAGGGAATTGGAGGAGAGCCTCTCAGCAGCAAAAGAGTTTACGTTATTAGAGAGTGTCCTCGCCATTCTTTCACAATTATTATTGCCAGTTCCAAGTGAAATGAAAGTTGAACAGATCTCCCTCCATCTAAAGCACTTACTGTCTCTCTTTCTCTTGCTGCTCTTTGAGGAGTTTGTTAGTCTCTAATGCAAGCCGCTTCTGATGCATTAACTCCTGGCGCTCCTGTTCACGAAGACTCACTTCTCGCTGCCTCTCATCCTCAGTCATGAACAGCTCTCTCCCCTGAAATCACAGCATAAAATCAAATTCATCGCTAAAAATCTGAGTTCACTTATTTCCCCTAAAAAACAAACAAAAAAACCCCACACCCTCCAAAGCTGCTACCATAAATGTACATTAAAATGCTTCCTCCTATCACTTCTACCAAGTAACACCTTCTATAACACTGTTTCCAAATAGCAATAATCAAACATGTCAGGTCTGTGAGTAACTTGGGTCCCAATCTGTGATGTGCTGAGCACCTCCTATACGGTGCCATGCACCCAGAGTTCCTGCTAAAGTCAAAGGGAGTAGAGAATGCTCATAACCTAGTCAGAAGTGCTCAGCATCTTCCAGGAGAAAGCCCTCCCCCTCCCCCGTTTTCTTCAATACCACTCATTGTAATTTATAATAGGACCATGCACACAGTGTGGAGAAACATATCCATTCTCACACCTGTTTTCTATTCCTGCCTATCCAAGTGGTGTGAACGCAATGTCAGAGGTGTTATGCCTGGGTGGATGTGCAAGCATCACTATCTCAGTATGAGTGAATAAGGATCCAAAAGGGACCGGGAGTGGGAAACAAGGCTAGTCACATCATCTTGTCTGTTTCTTTGTTCTCTTCTAGTTTGAATTTACAGTTCAATTAAAACATATGGAATATTTTCATCTAAAAACAACAGAGATAACATAATGGAGCTATTTGATGGGGGCCCTTTGTGAGTGATAGGGCAATTTCCTTCAATGTCCTTGCAAAACCTTCTTGTATTACATTTATGTGTTATGAGGATTGCATGTAACATCTCTAGGGGAAAGATGTGACACATATTGCAACCCCAAGCAGTGCCTTTCGGGTCCATTTTTTTGAAATGAACAGGTTACATCTGATTGTGTTCTACTCCAGGGGTGAGGGCTACTACAGCTCCTCCAGGAACTAGAAAGAGTAGGTGGTGATTAGACACTATCACAATACAAATAAACAACAACAAATCTATTATGCACTTGGATCTCCATAGTGACTGAAACCTTTAGTATTTTAATATTAAAAGATTGTACTTATAGTACGTGTGGCTGTAATGGATAAATACATACACACACACAAAATATATTCCCAAACCAAACACTGCCTTTAATACTTGTTGCCCCAGGTAAAGTAAACAGAAAATAAGGGCAAAATTACACACACACACACACACACACACACACACACACACACCACTTCTTGTCT